AGAACTGATTTCCTACCCCCGAGCTAACAAGTGGCCTAACCAGGCTCTGAATCGAACCAGTCTGGGTCCAAATTTTCCCATCTTAATTGCAATGGTATTACTTGTCATCAGCCTCTCATCTGACCTTGAGGCTTGTGCCTCTTGACTTCTGATCTCATCTTGACCATCTCAAACAATCACTAAATTTCCAAAGTCAAAGTCCTGGTTTGGTTTTGTTCTCCCAGACTAACACCCCCCAATGTTTCCTACCTAAGTGACATCCATGGCAAACGAACCACTTGCACGGGGAACCTGTGCCCTTCCTTCCAAGCAGGTCAGGTTTCCCATCTCTGTCAGACCCTAAACCCAGTTCTCAACATCTCCCAGTTGCACAGTGGTGACAGCGGGGACTCAGCTCCCTGCCCCCCACCCTGCACCCCCTTCTCCAGGATGCAGAGAGAGGTCTTCTTTCAGATGCGCATCGAAGCATGCCACGCCCTCTCACCACATGCCAGTGGTTTCTCCAGTGGTTTCTTGTGCTCTCTGAGGAAGATCAAACCCTTGACCTTAAAGTTTGGCTTCACATGAGACCCCAGCATACATGTCCACCCTTGCTTGCCCCTCTCACACTTTCTGCTGCTACCACACTTGTCTTTCTTGGGTCTGTCATGCTGACTATGCCTTTGCACGAACCTTCTCTACCTGATCACTCTTCTCTCCTCTTTCGTCCTAGTTAGCTTGTACTCCAGTCTCAGATCCTAGGTCTTCCTCTTCAGGAGAATCTTTCCTGACCCCCAGGACCAGATCAATGAACACTAGGATAGGCCCTCAAAGCCTTGTACCTTGTGTCTTTTATAATTATCATCACATTTGGATTATTCTTTTCTTTTTTTTTAATTTTAATGTTTATTTATTTTTGAGAGAGAGAGAGACAGAGTACGAGCGGGAGAGGGGCAGAGAGAGAGGGAGTCTCAGAATCCCAAGCAGGCTCCTGAGCTGCCAGCCCAGAGCCTGATGCGGGGCTTGAACTCATGGACCATGAGATCATGACCTGAGCCAAAGTCAGACGCTTAACCGACTGAGCCACCCAGGCGCCCCATATTTGGATTTTTCTTCCCCAGTTGGATTGTTAACCAACTATTTCCATCTCCTCGTCCTGTTTCCACACACACTTTTTAATGAAAAATTTCACCCATGCGCAAAAGAAGAGAATAATAGAAAGAACCCTATGGACCTATTGCCTCCTTTAAGTTAATTTTATAAATATCATAACTTTCTTGTTTCATTTATCCTCCTACCTATTTTTCTGGAGGATTAAAATTTTTTTTTATTTTTTTTTAAATTTATTTCTAGGAGAGAGAGAGAGAGAGAGACAGCGTGAGCAGGGGAGGGTCAGAGAGAGAGGGAGACATAGACTCTGAAACAGGCTCCAGGCTC